TGAGTGAAGTATGTATGTGTATATATGTATATATTGTACTATTCTTAGTTAGTGTATTGTCTGTCTTGTCTTAATGTTGGTTTAAAATGGAGCACTGTAACAAAAAATAACAAAAAATAATTTCCCCCAGGGATTAATAAAGTATTCTGATTCTGATTCTGATTCTGATTCTGACTCTGACTTGCCTGACATTACTTGTGACTTGAGGATAAAGACTTGAGACTTACTTGAGACTTGCAAAACAATGACTTGGTCCCACCTCTGTTGTCTACAAATAAAGTTGCACATTACACAAAAACTACAGTTAACTAAATGCAACAAATAATTTGTTCAACATCAAGTATTACATTATTATGTGGAAAACCAAACAAAACATCAAACCGTAGTATCTTCCCTTTTAGATGCTTTTTCACTCTTTATAATTGCTGGACAACAAATGAGTATTTAAGAGTAATCCTGTCCTGGATTTTTCTCAATTTTTTCAGGCTATTAATTCTCCTGCTGCTGCTGCTGCTGCTATCTGGACGAAGTTTAAACCATGACAACACCAAACCAATGAAGTCCACCTGGTCTGCAACTCGTCATACTTACCATAACACTAGCCAGGATGTGAACCCCCTAGCTTTGGTGTATTAAACATCCACTTACTGGCAAGGGGCATCTTGTCCAGGATCTCCTCTCTGACTGTAAGTTAGACTTCTTGACTGAAACATTGCAACAGACTGGAGACTTTTTCTCACTCAATGAAGCCACTCCATCTGAGTCTTTTTGAACCTGTCATACTTGAGGCTTAGGGAAGAACAGGGGTCTTGCGATGATCCATTGCAAGCACTGGAAAGTTCTTCCTGTCTCTGTTCCCATCTTTCACTCATTGAAATTCACCACTTTAAAGGTCCCTCTACATACTCTTAAAATCATATATACTGTTTACCGACCACCTAAGCCAGAGAAGTATTTTTTTAATGACTTTGCTGCTCTTCTTACTCATTTCTCTGTACTTTCTTCTAACATGATGATCTTTGCTGATCTCAACATTAATTTGGACAGTGATAATAACTCCCATTCCAGACAATTCACATTCTCCTCTCCCTTAATGCATTAGGTGGTATACAAGTGGATTGCTATGGGCCTTAACAAAGTAGATTAACACTGGGGAAGCAGGTATGTAAGCAGGGTGCCAAGCTTGGTAGCATTGGAGCTGAACTGCATCTGTAAGACTGTATGCAGTCTCTGGGTGTCCTCCAAAATGACAGATGTTGCCTCAGGTGTTAAATCACTGGGAAATGAGGAGTAATCTGGTACTGGGTCTGAGGGGCTCATCAGGCAACAGCTGTAGTGTAAAAGAAAAAGCAGACAAAGAGAGTAACAAGCTCCAATGCATTTATTTACTTGAAAGAACCCAATAGCATGCACAATAAATGTCTATGCAAGAGCTCACCAGGGCACTCCGGCGAGTTTCATTTATATACTCCCTCCAACGTTATCCTATAACAAAAACTCAAAAGTTATAACAGGGGTCAGCAGCCCTGGGCACGCGTGCCAAAGCTGGCACGCGAAGGGTTAACTAATGGCATTAATTAATCTGAGAAGGTGCATTAAAAATGAATGCCTTGGCCAGGCCAGCAGTGCACATCGCAAAATAGCCGCTTCTTAATGACAGTATCATAGCTAACAACCCCAACTACCGGATTCAACTTGTAATTGGCTAAAATTAACTTAGCCTACCAGTGAAAGGGATGTTGCTAGCTGGCAGTTTTTTCAAGCGATGTTGAAATTTCCACATTCCAACCTTCAGAAGCTTCAGGAGTTTTCCACTCAGCACAGCATCAGCACTGCGGAAATACACGGATACATCTGTAGACTCGAGACAGAACTCACAATGTGTTTTCAGGACTTTCAGGTGTGGACCAATGTTTTCTTTTCTGATCAAACCAGAAAGCTTTAATGAGCAGCTGGATTTGTCTCGCATTAACTGGCTGAACACAGAGGACATCGAAATGCAGCTGATTGAACTGAAAAGCTCGACTCTGTGGGGGTCAAAGTTTGCAGAACTACGAACGCAGCTGGAATCCACAGCTGTGCGTGTTTATGGAGCTGCATTTTCACTTGCTGGACATCACTACCAGACAAGTTTAACTGTCTTCAGAACATTGCAGAGGCCTTATTGACAGTATTTGGCTCTACATATCTGTGTGAGCAGATTTTCTCCCACATGAAGAGTGTCCTCAGGTAGCCGTCTGAATGCTGGACACTCAGAGACCTGTGTCTCTGAGTGGGAGACCAGAGATCACATTAACATGTGTATGCCTGAAACCACTGCAACCCCCTCTGGCTTCTGCTCCGCTGCTGCTGGGTGGCCCCTCCTCAGCTCTTTCCGGGATAGTGGCACAGTTGCCCCTCCAATGGTCTTCCTTGGACTGTTGCGCTCTGGGAGTCTCTGGATGTCTGGAGCTTGGATCTCCTCCATACCTGCTTCATGCCCTGGGGGACGGGGATATGGCTCCCCACACCCTCTAGCAGATCGTTACATGAAGGAACGTTTTGAATACAAGCGTGCTCATGCTCACAGGTGTACACACGGGTGCTCACAGACATAAACCACACCTTTTTTGGGTGCTACCTCAAAGCACACTGTGCGCTGTCAGTATATTCAGTATTTAGTATTTACTGTTATATACACAGAGATTATCAGGATGATGTTGTTTATTATATTGCTCTCTTTTTTACTTGTTTTCTCTTTTGTTTTTTTTCCTCAACAGGTGAAACAGGTGATTGATATATATGTATATATATCAATCATGTATCTATATATCTATATATAGATATATAGATATATAGATACATGATTGATATATATGTATATATATCAATCATGTATCTATATATCTATATATAGATATTTTTTGCCCCCCCCACCATTTTTTTGTGTGCCCTTAATCACTGTTCCTCTTCCCTGCTGTTTCTTTTCCCTCCCTCTCTTTCTTTCTCCCTTTCCTTTCCTCCAGTCATGTCTGTGGGATGGTCCATTTGGTAAAGTAAATCCGTTGGGCATCTTTCTTGGCCTTCAGAAAGTAATTCTGATGGCAAAAGAACAAAACAGGACAGGCAGGCAAAAAATAAATTAAAAAAAACAAAAAAATAAAAAGCATGTGTATCCCATGTGTATTAAAAAACATGCCATATTGGCACAGTTTATTTTTCTTATCATTGTTGTGAGGAGGCCATAAATAGCATTTGCATTTTCTGTTGTACAGTTCATTTGCTGTTATGGATTAAAAAGTGTCTTTTTTTGTTTCAAAATAGCTGATAACTATTCGCTGATAGCTGCCAACATCTGCAAACAAATATAAATCTATAAAGTGGTTCTATATATTGTGTAACTGTTCATATAGAGCGTTATTAAATTTATGCAATCATATGGCACACTGACTTCTGAGGAAATTTTAGATGGCACTCATCATCAGATAGGTTTTTGTATTTCTCTCATTACTGGTGAACTCCGCTATTACTCCCTGCTCTATTTCAGCCCACTTGTCAACCAATCAGCGTTGGGCAGCTGCATACATTATCCACTTTGCGCAGGCAGGGTCTCACATGGGTGAAAACCCCTCTCCCCCCCCTGTCTGACTGAAAAGAATATTTAGACAGACACATTTGCAAGACTAAAATTCCACTCAGCAAAAATCTACAAAGGGATAAAATTAGCAGGTACTAACAAAGCGGCTAGAGGCAACATATCATAAGGTTAACAGCACCAACCATGTTGGCAGACACGTTTCACAAGGATGGTAAATACATCAATTTAAAATGTTACCATTTCTTCTGGAGAAATTTTATATTTTTGACTAGATGTGTGTAAAGTTTTCTTTGAAGGTTTCATACATTCTTATATATTTGTTAAATTGTAAAAAGCAAGCTGCAGTTTGTTATCTGGGTTTACAGACAGACTGTTATAATATGTTGTGTTGTCTATTATCACTGTATATTATTGCAGCATTATTCTCAATATTATCGGATTGCTAATTTTATTGAATTGCAAGTCATTGTTAAGCTGTAAATATTAATTGGGTTTAAATTATATATATATATAAAACCTAATACATCAATAATATAATAACTATAAACAGTTCAAATATAGTTAAACTGTTTAAATGAACATTTTTAAATTGGTATTTTGATCTGCAGGTCAGTGAAGTTGGGTCAGCGTGTACACATAAGGAAACATGGCCTGCACATCACAGTCCGCATTAGACTATGTCAAGCATGCCAAACCCCATCTTATAAGCGGATTAAAGGATCTCTCTGTGATTTTGGAGAACTTGAATCAGAAAGGAGTTCTTGGTGATGAAGAAGTCAGCAATATAAAGGCAGAGAAAACTGATGAAGACAAAAGAAGAACAACACTGATCTCAGTCATAAAAAAAGGGGAAGCAGCCTGCTATGAGTTACTCAAGATTATCGACAGGACAAGGAAGAGGACTTTAGAGAAACTGCTTCTTCCTCCTGAGAAAAACAGCGATGCTTCCACTGAGAAAAACAAGTTTGATCTGCATCATTGGATCAGTTGCTTTTCCTTCAAGGAGGAGACTCAAGTCGATACAAACTACTTACAAGGTATTTTGTAGTAAAATCTTGATAAAAATAAAATCTTTGATGTATTGACGAACTGCACTTTAATGCATTGGATAAATGTATCTGTTACAACTGCTTTAATTCATAGTGAATTTGTTTTCTCACTGCTTTTAGGGCCAAGGTCATGCCACAAATATCAGGAAATGTTAAAGTCAAATGCAAAAGAGAAGTCAAATGAGTTTTGGGCAGCAAGTAAAAATTGGTTTGAAGGAAACAAGACGCCTGATCTGTCATACTCATCACTTATATTAGACACAGAGCAAAGTGTTTGTCCATCTAAAATTAAAAAATTAAAAAAAAGGAAAAGCAAGCTGAGTCGCCCTAAAAAACTGAGGACATACATCCCTGAAGAGAAACCCACCATTTCTCCCAGTGAGCTGCTGAAAACAGATAAAAACATTCTCTTGGTTGGAAAACCTGGAATTGGAAAGACAGCACTGACTCATGAAATGTTGAGACTCTGGGCAGAAAGAGAAAGCAAAGAGCTTGATTACATGTTTTACTTTGACATGAGGGAAACAGCACAGATCGTGAACGCCAAAAATTTGGAGGAACTTCTTTTCAGCTTTTATTGTGGTCCAGATGAAGGCAAAGATGCGGTCTTACAGGACATACAGAGTCACTCTGACAATGTTACAATTATTTTTGATGGACTCACAGATATCTCTTCACCAGTGGTTACAAAGATTTTAAAGAACAAATTACTACCTCTTGCAAAGATCATCATAACATGCAGACCAGATGATGAGGATACAAAGTTTTTTTCTGGGAACTTTGACAGAGTGGAGGTGAAAGGCTTTAGTGAGCAGACTATAAAAACATACTTATCTGCAACACTCGGTGAAGATCAGACGAAGGTTTTGAGTAGCGTGGAGCTGGTAACTCTTTGTCATGTCCCCATGTATGCACTGATGATGGCTGTTTGCTTTTCATCAAAAGATGCTCCACAGCCATGTACAATAACTGAGATCTACATCAATATTGTTCGATATTGCCTTCAGATAAACAGCAGAACTAAGAACCAAAAGCTGAATTTCTTCATCAAAACCAAGAGAGAAGAAATTCTGTCTTTGGCTGAAGCTGCTTTTCTTTCAACCCAACAAAAAACTGTGAACCTGACAGACCTGACCTGTGACGACAGCTGTGTCCTGTCCTTCCTGAAACCACTTCTCATTAAGGAGGCCGTGACTGAAACAATAACCACATATGCATTCCTCCATTACACAGTGCAGGAGTTTTTTGCAGCACTGTGGCTCCTGAAGAATCCTGATAAAATCAGAGATGTTTTTCAGCAGTGCCTCACAGAGGAGAAGAAACACATGAAACATCTGATCCCCTTCATGTGTCGACTGTTGAATGAGAAGAGCCCAAGTTTGATGAAGCATCTGATTCCAGATCAGGACCTGAAGAATACATCTAACTGGTTCTTCAAGGAGCTGATTAACACATTTCTTCCTCATCTGTGTGAGCAAGAAGCAGCTGACACTGAGGGCAGTGGGCTCCATGTCCACATACTGTTCGTATGCCAGTGCTTGTATGAGTCCCAGAGTCCTGAAGCATGCGTCTACCTTCTAGACAAACTGGACTACCATCTTGACCTCAGTGGAGACAGTCTGGATCCTTACCCTTGCTGTGCTGTGGCCTATGTGGTCACTCAGTCAAAGGAAAGGAAAATAAGGCTGAACCTCGAGGACGTGATCATATCAGAACAAGGAATGAGACAGCTGTTCGGATGCTTTGAAAATGTCCAATGGTAAGAATGAACATGTAGTTTCAGGGTTATATTACTGCTTAGGTTACAACCTGTAATAAGACTCATATTCTTGGTTAGTTTTACAATGAGATAATGATCTCTTCTTTCAATTATAGGTCTGACTCTCTGGCTCGACAGCTGTGGGAGCTTTTTCTTATCAGCGAAGAGCAGATGGACTTCGTAACCTTACTTAGTCTTGATGGAAATCATTTACACCTTCCAACTCAAGGTGAAAAGCAGCTTTATGAAAGAGCTGTGGAAGTCATACAGAGGATGCCTACAAAGGTTAATGTGTGCCTCTACTGGGACAATGAAACTCCTCCCTGTCACAGTCAGTGTGAGTCTCTGCTAAAGGCTTTCCCGTTCATCAGCTCAGTCAGGTATGTAGCTTTTCCTTTCAAATAATTATGTACCTGCTTATTTTTATAGTCTGTGACTGTTGAAAAAAGAGGCTTATTTTGTGGTGGCATTTTAAAAAAATAGAAAAGGAGCTTTAAATTTTGAACTGAAAGCTGGAAAATGTGATTACCGTAAATCCCGGACTACAGAGCGCACCTGATTAAAAGCCGCATGCTCTAATTTTAGAAAGAAAATCAATTTTGTACTTGTACAGGCCGCACCGGATTTAAAGCCGTATGCGTTTCACTTGTAATATGAGATACACAGAAATATTACACGTGAGGATTTTTAACGTTTAATTTAATCCGTAAGGTAACGTAAACGTTATGGTAACATACAAAAATACATACTGCAAATGCTTTTTTTCCTCGAACAGCGCCTGTAACACGGCTACCTTTAAGTATACGTACGTATCGGTAACACACAAATTACGATGCTTATGGTTTTTTTACGGAACAGTGCACAAACAACATTACAACGTCTCTTAACAACCGGTAAAAAATATATACCATATATATACTACTTACCAATTTTATTAGTCTACTGTTACCAGGCAAAATATTTTTGGCCGTATGAAAAAAAAAATGCATTAGCGTCAGTATAAGTTCACAGTGTTCACAGTGGGGGTGAAAAGTAGCGGCTTATGACCCGAAAACTACGGTAAATCTGAGGCCTTACATTTCATAGAATCCTAGAGGCCTCAGGCTGGTCTCATGGTGCTTGATGAATCTGAATGTCTAATTTGTTAGTTTTCATTTCATTCATGAAACCCCAATTCTGAAAAAGTTCAGAATTCGGGGATACTATTTAAAATTACATAAAAAACAAATAGGAAATCTCATAAACCCATATTTTATTCACAATAGAACACAAAACCTATTAAATATCAAAACCTGTTGTGAACCAAAGAAAATTTAACATTTTAGGGAAAATATTAGGATATTTTGCATTTATTGGCTGCAACACATTTTAAAAATTTGGGATGAGGCCAACAAAAGGCTGGCACTAAAAAGAAAAAGCTGAAAGGATGTTTTGCAACTACTTAAGAGCATTTACCATTCAGAATAATGTAGTGTAAAAAAAAGGACTTTGAAGATCTAATTTTCTACAGTACATAATATCATCATTAGATTCAGATAATCTGAAAAAAATCTCTGTGTGCAAAGGACAAGGATGAAAAACAATATTGAATACTTATGACCTTTGAGCCCTTGGACAGCAAACCAGCATGATTATGTCATGAAAATAATAATAATAATAACAATAATGGATTGCATTTAGATAGCGCTTTCCTAGACACTCAAAGCGCTTTTCAATTCCACTATTCATTCACTCTCACATTCACACACTGGTGGAGGCAAACCACAGTTGTAACCACAGCTGCCCTGGGGCAGACTGACAGAAGCGAGGCTGCCATATCGCGCCATCGGCCCCTCTGGCCAACACCAGTAGGCGGTAGGGTAAAGTGTCTTGCCCAAGGACACAACGACCAGGACAGACAGAGCATCACTGCATGAACTCGGGAATACTTCCAGAAATCACTGTCTGTTTACACAGTTCACTGTATTATACCAACCAAAGCCTGTTATAGACATGCTGGCCCACAATGTCCCTTCCATGCTTTCCCACACCAAAGCATGGACAGCATGCAAAGGTGAGGGTATGGACATACACCGACTGGTGAATTGAGAGCTTGACTTTTACACTCAGGTCTCTCTTCACCATGACAGACCGGGAGCGTTCGGATTACTGCAGCCGCAGCACCACTCTCTCTGTTGATCTCCTGCTCCTCGCTCACGAACAAGACCCTGAGCTACTTACTTTTCTGACAGAGGATCATGAGCTCAGACTTGGATTTGCTAATTCTCATACCTGCCGCTACACACTCAGCTGCGAACCACTCCAGTTTGAGCTGGAGGCCACCACCTGATGAAGCCAACAGAACCATATCATCTGCAAAAAGCAGAGATGAGATTCTGAGACCACCCAAGTGGAAGTCTTCTGCCACTTGGCTACACCTAGAAATTCTATCCATAAAAATTATGAACAGAATCAGTGACAAAGGACAGCCACTGCTTGCCAGAATCTCTTTGAGGCACTCCCAAAGTCTTTTTACGTGGCCTCACTGAACTCCTCCCACATCCCAGTTTGTGCTTCAGGCACTGTTAAAGCCATGCTCAGCTTGGCCTGTCGATGCCTCTGAAGTTCTTCAGGCTACCCAAGTCAGATAGGACTCCTTCTTCAGCCTGATGGTTCCCTTCAGCACTGGTGTCCACTGTCTGGTTTGGTGGTTACCACAACAACAGGGATCAACATGCCAGCATAGATCTGATAACATGATTAACGCCTTCGACGCTTATTCCCTTCCGATGCTGCACCCTTTACCCACCCCTGTTGCTTGTCATGTGTTTCTTTGGTGTATTAAGAGTTTTTTCATGTGCTATGTGCAGAGGTGTTTTTTTCTGTTCTCAAACTGATCTCCCTGTTGGAGCTCAGTCTGGGAGGAGTTATTTTTTTCTCCTTATCTTTCCTCGTGTGGTGCATTTTCCATTGTTATACCTCTCTGACCTGTCTTCCCCATGTGATCTTTTGTGTAATGTATGTATGGTCGGAGGGTAAGATGGCGCCGCCATTGCGTGCAATAGGTCGGCAGCCTTATGAAATTTCCCCCTGTGGGACTAATAAAGGTATATCAAATCAAATCAAATCAAATCAAATCTTTTTTTTCTTTTTTTCTTTTTTTTTTTTGCCTGTCCCGTTTGGCTCTTTT